CACGTTTGGGGTCCAAGTGCTTGAGCAGATGAAGCGGAGGGAGGTCTGCTACCATAATTCAGCTATAATTAGGCAGATGAGAAAGGAGCTAGCAACACAAACCTTGGTACACAGTAGCATCTTCCAATTCAGATAAAGTACAGAGATGGTCACTTTGTCAATAAATATGAACATGAATATTTTGACAAACAAAAGATGTTTTGAGTGTGTGAAACTGTTGATTGTCAGACTCAGAGCTAACCAAACAGATGACACTAACTCCAACTGACCAGAAGTCCCTTAGTTCATATCCATTCTGAGATCTGCACTATAGAGAATTACACTACTAAAGTATTTACCTCACTCCAAAGTCTGATCACTTAAAACACTGAGTTAAAGCTGAGTAGGTTAATTTGGTGCAGTTCACAAGTAGATGGAAGAAATGGGTAATTTGCACGATTTATAAATTATTTCATTATTTTCACTTTTTAAACAATACAGCATGTGGTTGGGGGAATGGATCAGTGGATAAAGCACTTGCCAAATAAGTGTGAGGACCAGAGTCTGAAGTAGCAGACATGGCGACCACCTGTAGTCCTGGGCCAACAGACACTCCCTAGGAAAAGTTGGTTAGTTAGACTGGCCAGAATCAAGAGGCTCCAGGTTCAGTGAGACACGCAGCTTCAGAAGATAGAGCAGACAGCAAAGGAAGGAAGACATCTCATGCCATCTTGGGATGTCCACACACATGCAGCTTGGGATGCCCACACACATGCAGCTTGGGATACCCACACACATGCAAAACTGCTTCCATATATGCAAGCATGCTACACACAAAAACACAGGCAAAAGAAAAAAATACTTGTCATTACTGGCTCCAGGTTTTAGGGAAGATAGTACTATGTTTTCTCATTCACCGAATTTGTGAGGTTTTGTACAAAGCTCCTTGGAGAATTAAGAAAACAAGGGAAGTAGTTATGTTAAGATTGTATGAATATGAAATGTATCTATATGAAATGAATTTATATGAGTAGAAAAAGGCCTAAATGTATACTTGATTTTCTGCCATGGATGTCCTTTAACCCAGCTGGCTAGCAAATTACTTGAGACCTGTAGCTTCTCTGTTTAGAGAAGGCAGAAGAGGAAGTCAATTCTCCATGGAATCCATCATGTTGACGAGGTGGGTACTTAACTAAATTCAACCTACTGTATCACTAAAGCTGCTTTAATTTGCTTTGCAGTGCTGCAAATTGAATCCCAGGCTTCTTACATGCTAAGTTAGAGCCTCAACACAGCCTCAGCCTCAGCCCTCCATGTATACTGAAACACATATAAATACTCAAAGCTCCCTATAGAGGACTATTTCCATATCTGTCTTTTTATTCTTTTGCATTATGAACCTAACAACTCTAGTCTCCTAAGATTGTCTTTAACCCTCTCATAATAAGTTATTGTCTCTACTTCTCAAGATTAAGAAGTCACATTTTTTAAAAAATAAATTAATTGCTGTATGTATTGACATACACATGGAGTCCCTGCACCCTGGAAGCAGATGCAGGGGGATCACTGCAAGTGTGAGATCAAACTGATCTACATGATGAGTTCCTGGCTAATCAGACACACACACTGCTTCCAGTGCTTTAAAACTGTAGAATGGCAAATAACCCTACTCTTAAAAACATATTTTACCCAAGTTATTTAATATCAAGTCAAAATATAAAATATTTAAAATAACTCCAAGATTTAACAATTAGTGAAACAACTAATTCGTAATACATAGATTATGTTTGGCCTCCTAGAAGAATACTTTGTTTAGTTAGTCATTTGAAGAGTAAGGACGAGCCTTGGGAAGGAATAAGGGAGAGAGAAAGGCAGGAAGGTAAGCAGGGAGGAAGGGAGGCAAAGCCCATTTGACTTTCTTACAGTCCACACAGTGCTGGGAAGGCCGTGCTTTATTAACATTTACTGAATCTCTATTCTTTCTTAACTTAATAATCATGAATTAAAGATAGCCTCTGGTGAGAATTCTAAAATAATAAAATAAGCTATTCTCTTTTCTAGTGAGTATTTCAATGTTTTTCTGTTTCTATGAAGTTATTTAACTGAGACAGACACACAAGTACACAAGGTTTTGGACTCCATTAAGGGAGTCAGCTGCAAAGCTCTGAGTAGAAGCGCGCCTCTACTCTGGGAAACAAATACTGTACAAGGATCTTTCCAACTGTTATGGAGATAAATGTGTTAAAAGTCACTTATACTTTCAAGGAAGAACTGCTGGCTGGATTCAACCAAATGGTGCAAAGGCACCGCAGTGAAAAGTTATGTTGACTAGAAAAATGCAGCACACATAGCATCTAGAAACACCCACAACAAGAAATGCAGCAGTTGGAGCTCCTATCTAATTTGTGTTCAGAAGGGCTGCACATTGGTGGAAAATGGCAAGAAAATGGTTCATTGTGGGATTTTATAAAAGCACACAATAAACCACTCCTCAGCCTGACAGTCAGTCCTTAGGGCAAATGACTTACCTCACTGTAGAGACCTTAGACCTGGAATTACTCGTGTTGGAGAACCTTTCAACAGAATGGCTTAATAGTGACAGTTTAGAAGGTACCTCATGGATGGGGGAGGGCTCATGAAGCCTACGAGCTGGTTTCCATTCCTGGAACTCAGACTAGAGAGAAGAGTGTCCTGAAAGCTGTCCTTGGACATCCATGTGTGTGTCATGTATGTGCACACCCTCTCGTAAGCCTCACACTAATAACTAAGAAATAACTAAGAAATTAAAAATGTTAAACATGGACCTTATGACATGTACAAATTATTTACTCCATCTCCCTCAAAGTCCCATATTCCCATTATAGATTAAGAAGGAATGAGGTGAGGAAACACGTCTCACAGGGAGACACAACGTAGCAGAGACAACACTGTTTTCTGAGATGGTAAGGAGAATGATTCAAATTGGTGTGATCAGCCCTTTAACACAAGGCTGGACCAGAGCTGGGCTTAGAGGAGCCAGGCACTGACCTTGAACTAAATGGGAGATAAGCAGACAGGGTGGAGGCAGGCTGTGGGCTTCCTGTAGTTTACAGGACTGGGCAATTGCTCTTCAAGAGAATGGAAGAATGATCCTGTAAGGCAAGTCAGGAGCCCCCATGGCTGCTCCTGCTCCCACAGCCAGAACAGAGAGGTTTCCTACAGTATCAGAAGGCTAGGATGACTGCGTCCAATGTTCCAGGCTCGATGCCACCCCTAGCAGAGTGCCAGAGAGCAGAAGCTCTGCAGTGGGACTTTGGTCCGTCTCCAAGTCCTTGGAACCCACTATTCTATACTCTGCTATGACGTTGACTTTCTAACTCACATGTAGTACGTAGAATGTATCTTTTTCTACCTGACCTTTGTCATTGGGCCTAATGTCTTCCAGGTTCATCCATGTCATAAATAACAGCATTTCTTTGCTTCTTATGGCACAATAATATTCCACTGTGTGTGCACTCCACTTCCTTATGCATTTGACTTTGGTAGCTATCCTGGCTATTGTGAACGATGTTACATTGAACTTGGTGTCCTCTTACCTCTTTGATATACTAATGTCACTCCTTTTGGACTTAGGCTCAGAAGTCTGATTATTAGGTCAAACTATAGCACAAAGGCTGTTTTAATCTACACTTTCACAAACAGTACAAGGGCTTCATTTGCTCACAACTTGGCCAACATTTTCCTTCCGTTTTTTTTTTTTGAAATTTTTATTCTATTAGGTATGAAATGATATATAGTAGTTTTGATTTGCATTTCAGTGATAAATTTAGTGATGACAAATATCTGTCCTCGGAGCTGCTCATACATTTTGGATGTTGACTCTTATTACAACGTGTGGTTCCAATATCTTCCTCATCCCACCAGATGTCTCTCACTCTGCTGGTTAATGGCGCTTCCCTCTCTGTTGGTTAGTGGTTCTTGTGTCTCTTGCTCTGCTAATTAGTGGTTGTTATGTTCAAGCTTTTTAGCTTGATAAGGTCTCATTCATTGTTTCTGCTACCAATGCTTCCAAGGGTGTATCCAGAGAGCGTGGCTGAGTCCACTGTCAGAGGTTTTTCTCTGTTGTTTCAAGATTTATGTTAAAATTTTGAATGTGTTTTGAGTTGATGTCTTAATATGGTGAGAAGTAAAGATCCAGTTTCCCTTTTCTGCATCAGAATCTCTGTCTCCCCAGCACTGTCTGGTGAACCAACTGTCCTTGTGCTACTGTTTTTGGCACCGTTGTTGAGGATCCATTCAGCATACACACATGGGCATAGTTTCGCACCTTAGCTCCTATGCCATAAGTCAGCGTGTCTCTGAACACCCAGACCATGCATGCTGTTTTGATTACTATGGAATGCATTATCATTTGAAATTATCTAGTGTGATACTTCAAACTTTGTTAGTTTTGTTGACTTGATTTTCCAGGGTAATTTTTTATGGAAGCAAGAACAAAGATACACCTTATAGATGCCTTTAAAATCTACATGTTCTGCATATGTTACAAATGTGCACAGTGCATACACATGTGTGCCAAGTGTATATGGTCCACAGTTACATGCCAATCACTCATCTCCTTCCCTGCACATATAGGTACATATGCACAGAGATCGAGAGAGCAAGCAACATCTGCCCCCTATGGTCAATTATCCATTCTACACTAGGACTTCACATTCAAACTGAACCCGATCATCTGACAAAGCCAGTGATCCTCCTCGTTGATTATAGGATTTATCACCATAAAACTACATTAAGAGCACAGTAATGCAAAGACCTAATGTAAATCTCTCATGGACACAGGTCAGCTGCACTATCCTTACAAAAAGAGCTTCCAATAAGTTTATAACTACGACTGTCACAGTTGTAAGGAGAACAATTGAATCTGCTATCACCAGTATCCATCTTCAGCCATTTACAAGTGGCATCATGTCCTAATGCTGTCATTGCTGTCTGCCTTAGCCATTTACACGAGCACCCTTTCTACTGCACCATGGACCCACCTTGTCAGAGATCCATTTCTTAGGGTCTTGACTGCGAAAGTGCTTCTGTCCATAAGAGCTAGAATTGTACGTGCTCAACGAGTGTATCATTGGGATGTACTTCTCCTTTTTGTGGTAAGAAGAAAATGGCAAAAACCTGCAAAGACAGTCAGGCAACATTCATGATTAGACTTCCAGACAGTTGATTCAAAGAAAACAAGGGTTTGGGAGCAGAACACCTGCACTCGCTTCAACCCTGGCCACTGTTACAAGCACTGGCTTCTGGCACCTTTCCTTTCCTGCTTGTCTAATGATGAAGGCATTCGAAGTTTCCTAATGGGATTTTTGTGAGTTTTAAATATACAGTGATGTTGAATGTTCAATTAACAATTGGAAGGTGCAAGGTTTCTCAAAATTCATGTTATAGACAAAACGGCATTTTAAAATTGTATAAATCTCAAAAACACAAAAGGCAAAAGAAACACTCCAGCAGTGCAGGCAGTTCTTAAATGAAATCAGATTCCTGAAATCAAATCTCAGGTCACATCCCCAAGTGAAGGCATATCTGGTCAGGCGTAAATGACAGTGCTTTGGAGTTAGCCCACCCCTGCCTCCACCTCAGCCCACCCCTGCCTCCACCCTCAGCTCTCCCCTGTTCCAACCTCAGCTCTGCTTTGCTCCTGGACTTCCTTACCTAGTCACCTGACCTCCATGAGTCATGACTTCCACACAGAGCTGCTATGAGCAACAAGCAACTGCATGTGAATGAACATTTAGCATGAAGTCTGAAGAGGACGTGGGCCGCACGCATGCTGAGCAAGGTGCTAAGAGAAGTGCCCTGCTGCGTCCAGCAGTGTTTTATTTTGATCTTTGTGATTAGTGTAGGTATGAGTGGTTCTACATGGAAGACTAAGTCTCACACTCTCACCGCACTATCCCTGTAGTAGGCTCTTGGTGCAACCTGGCAACCTCACACTCCCACAGTGCTGTCCCTGTGGTAAGTTCTCGGTGCAACCTGATGACTTGTTCTGCTGGTTCTGCTGCTAAATCCTCAGTGGAACACAACAGAACTCAATGAACAAGAGTAAAAGAACAGATGGTTTTAAGCATCCATGAGAAAGTAGATAGAAGACAAGAACACAAGCTGGAAACAGCAAGGGGTTCGTAGCAGGTGGGAAGAGTATTGGGAAAGTGTAACAAACAGAGAAAGTATGAGAAAAATGAATGTTTTTGTTTTTGTTTTTCGAGACAGGGTTTCTCTGTATAGCCCTGGCTGTCCTGGAACTCACTCTGTAGACCAGGCTGGCCTCGAACTCAGAAATCCGCCTGCCTCTGCCTCCCAAGTGCTGGGATTAAAGGCGTGCGCCACCATCGCCCGGCTGAGAAAAATGAATGTTAATATAAGTGTCACAAGAGAGTGATGTCCAAGAGAACTTAAGTGCTATGTTCTGCAGGACTCTGGGAAATGAAGCTGTGGTCACTGAAGAAAGTGAGACAGATGAAGAAAGCTGAAGCGGGTGGATAAAAATCATCCCTGGAAGTAAATGAGGGCTTGGCTTTTGTGTTCCTGCTATACACCCCATGTATTCATTAAGAGATAGACTCAGATACACTGATATGAAGAGTTTGGCCCCCAGCTGTCACACCCCAGGAATGACACAATGCAGTGTGCATCAGACTGAGGGAGCACTGAATTGAGTAGGGGATCACTGGATGGAGTGAGGGAGCATTGGGTGGAGTGGTACCCATGGAGTATATCCCACAGTGCATCCATTTGCTTCTTCCTCTACTCATCTGTAAGCAGACTGTCAAGGGAACCTATGAAAACCATTGCAACTTCTCAAACATGTAGCAAACTTCCAGAGAAGTGTGCTCAAGGCTCAGTCTTTGGAAATATTTTAAATAAAAGGTCATAGTGTGGTACAATGAAGTTTCTCCATCAAAAAGCCAATCACATTCAGTTTCTGTTAGATTTGATTCATAACTGGAAAAATCTATGATAAAACAAAACCTCAGAGGAAACAGGTGTCAAAGTGTATAGTAACCAGGATCCAACTGAGAAAAATATTTTAAGAATTACAGTTTGGAAAAATAAATTTGAGGTTGAGGAAAAGCTGATTAAGCCATTACTATGTCCCAATATTTTCACATAGTACATTTAATTAAAACAAGATATTTTAACATCTAAGTCTAAATTAAAATTTTATTTATCACTGTGTTTATATGTCTGCTTAAACAATAAATTTAGAAAAATGTCCTACCTCATTAATTTCTCTTCACTTTTAATTTCTACCAATGAACTCCTTTATATTTTCCAATAATATTTAGCATTTTAATAACCCAAATAGAAAGCTTTGAAGTTTACAAAGTTACTTATGGAAGCATGAAGTATTTGCATCTATGTGTGAGACTGCTTAAGGGTAGTCTGGTTCATGGTTGGGCATGTGCCTAGAACCCCGAGACTCTACGTGAGAACCGGCAGGAGTTCGGCGTGCCCCCAGAACACAGGGTCCTGAAAAGCAGTCTAGTCTCCATAGAGTTACATTGTTCAGTCACGTAGGCCAGCCATTACAGCCCCTCCCAAAGTACACAGGTAGAGGGTGTGACTAGAGGCCTCAGGCCCTAGGGATTTACATACTAATGAAGGCTTTAGTTTCTGTCTCTCTGTGAATGGTATTTCAATACATTTTTCTTTTGTGTCTGTGTAGAATTTGCTTATGTGCAAAATGAAGGCACAGACAAGGCATATAAATTAATCTTACTTTAATTTAACCACAGTGATTCATTGAAGTCGAATATATGTGTGCTTTTATGTATGTGCACATATGTATATAAACTATATGCTCAAAATATCTACAAGCTGCATAATCTTTAAATAACTTTTATTTTAAAATTAATGAATAACTTAACCATCAAACAAATGGTTATGAAAATTGAAAACTCACAAAGGAGCTGACAGTCAAAATTTGGTTAGTATAAATTTATTTTAAACTTTCTTCTACAAGCTGAAGTTTTTCTTTCACGCTTTCAGTGGGTGCTGCTCCATCACCTGGACTCCACTCTCAGAAGATGTGGGCTAGCCTATTGTTTCTACAATCTCACTAAAGATGTAGATCTAGAGAAATAAGTATTTATTACACTTTTTAACTCATTTCATGTATGTGCATGGGATGTGTGGGTCATGGAGACATGTGGAAGTCAGAGGACAACTTCAGAGTCTCTTCTTGCCTTCCACTGTGTGAGGCCAAGTAACTGGAGTCAGGCTGTGAGGCTTGGTGGCAAGCACCTACCTGCTAAGCTATCTCACTGACCCAGATCTAAGAAAAACATCTTCAAAGCAATGTGAGCTACAGGGACATATGCTGCTGACTTATCACTTGATGAGACAGTTCTAGACTTGCCAGAAGTCTTAGGAAGCAGTAGTTGAAAACGGTTTCAGAGAAGATGATCTACTGTAATGGACTTTGAATGTTAATACACTTAATGTAATTTTCTAAATAATATCAACAAATTACCCTTCTTTATGCCTTACAACTCTGTTTAAGTTTTCATATAATCTTATTACTGTCATTCATAATTCTAGGTTTCTCACCAAACCACTTATTTTTACTGACAGGTAATTCAAATCTTCAAATCATGAAGCTCAATCTCCTATTGATTCAAGCCTCAAATCTTCAGCCTTGCTTGGACTTTGTACACTGAACTCCATTTGTCCACTTTTCCCTGTGGCCTACCCATCCTTCTAGCCAGTCTGTCTTCCTTTACCCTCCTGGCTCCATGCCTCTGCACATACTCCTCTTGAAATGTTGATCTGCTGCTGGTTTAACTCTCCCCTCTCCTGGAGAGCGGAATTCACTTATTCCAGCCAGTCTTGTTTCTCTTGCCTAAATGTTTATTCATTCAACCGACATTAAGGGTGATTTTTTTGTACAACTATCACTTTGAGAAGCACAGATATATGGTGGAAAATAGAGAATACTTGGAAAGAGTTCTCCTTATAGGAGGAGACAGGGAACTGGGGTAGAGAACACAAAACATAAAAGGTAATGTCTGTGGTGGACAAAGCACATGAGACAACAAATGACCAGAGGAAGGCTATGTTTGTTCATGCATGTGTACATGGTGGTGTTCTTCATTTAAGGGAGCTGGGGACTGAGGGCAGTTTAGGCTTTTGTCTGCCAGAGCTGATTAAAGAAAGAGGAGCCCATAGAAGTCAGGGAGTTGGTGACAATTAATGTGTGTGTGTGTGTGTCTCTGTATATGTTTATCTGTGTGTGTCTGTATGTGTGTGTGTTGCTCTACCAATAGTTTAAATTAGCCAGATCTGTGGCTTAGAATCAACTGGAAACATTTTCCAAACTCATACCCTATGAGCTGAACTTTTTGTGATTGAGATTCTGATTCTATGTCTTTAACTATAAACCCCAAAGTGACATACACTTCACTATCCCTGACTAAGAACCACTGCCCTAACACTAAAGCAATTTCCAAAGACCCATATTCAATCTTCTCTATAGTTTGTCCTCAAGGAGAAGGGCTGATTTTCATCACCGTGGTGTTAGCCAGCAACTCTACATTGATGACTTCTCTATCTCTCCTTGCACAGATAGCTTTCTTTAACACAAGAACCATGTTTTCCAATGCACACTGGGTATACTTAACAGTCCACAGTTGAAACCTCAAATAGCAAGCAGTGTGCTGTCTAACAAAAGCCTTCTTATCAGCCAGCTGCCTAACTTATTCATTCATCCATCCTCCCAATTATTTTAAGTTAAGTCCATCACCGTTTAATTAGCCATCTGAGTAGAAGCCATCAAGTCTTTTGATGGCTTTTGTTCTCCTCAATCAGAATCCTGGCTCATGGCCTAACTCATAAGGAATGTATCTGACTCACATGACACAACCCATACTTGATTCATGTGTTGATGGGATATGTCCATTGATTTAATATAGCTGTGTCCTAAGCACATCATTGAAGTGGGCTGGTTTGATAATTCAAATTAAGCAAAACAAATCCCTTATTACAAATATGACTGGAAAACCATTAGCTGTATCTTCTGCAGTCAAACTTCACAAGGTACCTCAGAAAGAAAGAGTGAACCACTGAGCTGTATGCTTCAGGAATTGGAATGAAGCATCTCATCTATGTTCCTGACC